CAGTTATGGTGTACTTGTTTCTATAGGTGGAACAACTAGTATGGTTTATATATGTGTATATATATACGAATTATAATAATACTCAGTTTTTGTCTGTCCTGCAAATGCGTGCGCACCTTACTACCTGAATGCGCATGCTCTTCGTTTCAACGGATGTAAACACGCTTTAGAAGACATTTTGTAATATAACATATTAAAAAGCTTGTGAAAGTTTGTAAAGAGGTCTAACGTTAGGCTGTGGATTATAAGTTTACTGATAGTATTAAGTAAGTTAAAGTTTAGCCCTAACTAAACTAAATAAAAAAAACGTGCACAAATTGCAGCGTTAATTTATATCTTTACAAGCAAAAGTACTCGCCCCCCAGTGACAGGAAAAGTTTAAATTAATCTATCAATTTAAATTATTTCATGGACTTTAAAAAGATTAATTGTGTTGCATTCTTGGTTTCACTCGGAGCCAAAGCTCTGAGCTACTTATACCACCCACCGCGAAAAGTAATTGTTCATCATTTAAGTCATGCTAAGAGTCGTTCAACAATAACATACGGTAAATCTACATTCTTATTCTTTAAGTTACGTCACATTTTGAAATGTGAACGATAGTGTTATTAATTCCTAACAATTTAATGTAGAATATTCTACTTGCGAAATAAAATTTGGCATCAACGTTTATTCGTGCCCGTTCTCCCGTCATTTTAAAAGGGAATGTTAAGCTTTGCCTGCGTGCGCAGCTTTTCGAACGGGAGACAGACTCTACGGTTCGCAATATATATAAGACCGAATATAGGCTACAATTAATAAAGGCTTAACTAATGTTAGTCCTAAGGCAAGTGGACTTGCAGATTTCGGTGTTTGCGATTAGAATTATTCTAGAAATCCCGTATTTAAAGAGGTACTATTACAATAAAGATACTGATTTGACCGCATATGTTTTGTGGATTTCTGCTAGTATATATAATTTCAACATTAAATCTAAAGAACAGGCTGCTTGAGTCATAAAAATAAGGATTTATATATTTAAACCTGCGAATCTTAAAAAGGTTATTTTTTCGAATATAGAAATTACGAGTGCTAACAAACTACCTCAACCCTGGACACGAGGGTTGAAATTATAGAAAATCGAGAAAGAACACGTAAAACGATGACTTAATTGATTACAGAATATTTTTTTTTATATGAATGTGTGGTTTATAGCTATATTTAAAGATTTACTGTCTTCGAACTTACTGCTGGTAAATTGTCGAGAGGGCGTTAGTGAGTAGATCGTAGAACTTTTGTTATTTTGGATTAATCATAAACAGGTAAATAAAACTAATACCGAATTATAGCCAATCTAATTCTCTTCGATATTCTTCTGTCGGAATAAACATTCCTATTGTAGGCCAGGTATGGGTGGGATTGAAACTGTTCGCCCCTTCAGCTGTGGAGGTGTTATAATGTAAAGAATAATCCTACTATACTTGGGTAAAAAATAGCCCGAGAGTTGGCGATGAGTAATATTGACTAGTTACCTTCTCTTAAGTCTTATCACTTCAAAATTAGCGATGGCTAACGTAGTTAGTCCCTGAGAAGCTTTGCCCGAAATACAACAAAAACAAATAAAGTTCATATTGTTTGTTATAGGCAATTTAATTTTTTCTTGGGTCTTCTTACGTATTAGGTATATCACATAATGATTACATACTTACAACTTAATACTTCATTGTGTGAAATTGTGTAAAACAGTAATTAGAATAACACTATACATCATTATACCTATTTACACAAATACCAAAAAAAAGTTTTACTGTATCAAAAGCGCTTTACACATACACCAAAAAGTGTTATACAAATACCGTTACACAAATATCTAGATTTATGTATATTTGCTTGGCTTTTACACACAGTATACTCGGTACTGACCGACAGGGCACGTATTTGTGTAATTATAAGAACTTCTCAGTATAAGAGGTTAGGGCACTCGACTCGCAATCTGCGGGTCACGTGTTCGAATTCCCGTCACACCAAACATGCTCGTCCTTTCAGCCATGGGAGCGTTATAATGTGACGGTCAATCCAATTATTCGTTGGTAAAAGATTACCCCAAGAGTTGGCGGTGGGTGGTAATGACTATCTGCCTTACCTCTAGTCTTTCACTGCTAAATTAGGGACGGCTAGCGCAGATAGCCCTCGTGTAGCTTTGCGCGAAATCCATAACAAACAAACAAACAAGACCTATCAGGTGAAATAATGTGTAGTAAGTTAACACCGCATTCTAGTTACCAATTTTCTTGGTGCAAAGCTATACAATGAGCTATCTGCACTTATCCACCGCGGCGAATCAAACCTTGGATTTTAGCGTTGTAACTCCGCTAACTGACGGTGGACCGTTTGAGACGTAAAGAACACTTTGTAAAATTATCTCAAATGCACAGTGTCTAAATAAATGAGTTCGATGGTTGTAGAGTGTCAACACTTTTTTTTAATAATCGTTCATCAACCTTTGACATACAACCAAACCCATTATTAGGCCTAACATTTTATGAAGGGTAAACTTGCTGTCTTTGTAGACCAGGATAATAGCGCCATGTTTAGAAAATAAGAAAGAAACCAGAAAGATATGCATGTGATATCAGATTGATAAGGTAACTCAATATAGAAATATTAGTGTTTTAGTTTGGTGTTCATCAACACTTATTACTATATTCGTTATAGAATCTCACGTAATTTCATAGTGTACTAAGTAAATTTATTCTGTTAAACTCTATAGTAAACGTGGACGAATTTCTGAAGAATACAGATGTTGACTCTTTTGGGCTGCACAACAACCTTAGTCGTACCGGAAGTAAAACGTCGAAAAGCAGCCAGAAATCGGAAGTGAGCAGATTTGTTTTTCGTTACTATATAAAACTTTCTGTCGTGACATGTCTTGACATGTCTTTATTGATTTGAATAATAGTTTCATACTAAACCACACACCTCAGTAAGTTCAAAGTTTACACTTAAGAACACAACTTAGTGCAAACCAAATGCTCTTCTGCTGAACCATTATTTATTAAATACAGTATTATATTTGCCCTAGAGGATCAATATATCACTGTCTTATCCCTATCATTATCCTTGGAAGTCTAACGTAACCACGCCTTTATCCTCTGTGGTAGGTTGTCTACTATTTAAAAAAACCTATAGCTCATAAAATAACCAAAGTAATGGATGTCATTACGTAGAAACCAGTAAACAAAGCCTACAACTCTTGTAATAAACTAAGCAGTAATGAATGTCATTACGTAGAAACCAGTAAACAAAGCCTACAACTCTTGTAATAAACTAAGCAGTAATGAATATCATTCTGTAGAAACCAGTAAACACAACCTACAACTCTTGTAATAAACTAAGCAGTAATGCATATCATTCTGTAGAAACCAGTAAACACAGCCTACAACTCTTGTAATAAACTAAGCAGTAATGAATATCATTCTGTAGAAACCAGTAAACACAGCCTACAACTCTTGCAATAAACTAAGAAGTGCCAGTCATTACATGGAAACCAGTAAACAAATCCCACAGCTCTTGTAATAGTAGTGTAAGCCATTAGATGGAAATCGTTAAATAAAACTCACAACTAAACAAATAATAAACTAAGTTTAAGTCCTTGTATGAAAACTGTTAAACAAAAGTTACAACTGTTATAATGAACTAAGTAATTCAAGCCATTATATTATCAGAAAGTAAAACCTACAACTCTCATGGTTATATGCTAAAACTCTCATCTTTAAGCTTATAATTTACAGGTGTTTTGTGTTTGTGTATAGCGTTATGTTTCCCAATTTCAGATGTTCCCATTTAATAATCCTTTGTGTCAATTTGTAGAGTCGCCATCTCTCGTCTTCAATCACTCCTGTTTTATAATCGCTTAATTTTTTTATATACAGGGCTGTTATAAATGTAATAATAAGACAAAAACAAAAAAAAGAAACTTAAGTATAGCTATGTTAATGTTGTTGTTTTTGAGGATCGAGAAGTTATTACAGGACAGAATATCAGTATTTATGAAATATTTTGTTTATTATTAGAAGTGTAGAAGAAATTTTGATATTAATTATTAACTCCTTCCGTGATTTGCCCGAGATAACTCGGGCGCCCTCCATATTTAAAAAAAAATGTTTGTCCGAATTATGTATCACTGGAGAAAAACAATTCCTTTTCATTATTGTAGTTTCATTTAAATAATATGTATCACGTATAAATTCAGATATGTAACATTTATTTATCGAGTATATTTTGTGCAGAAATATAATAGCAGACCATAAAATAACTTTTGTTTCGTTAATATATAAGTATAGGCTATCAAAAAACGAAATAAAAAAATTGACTTTTATGTGCTCGTTTCCAAAAAAAAAAAGCCTTATACGGAAGGGGTTTTTACTTTAACCGTGAAACATTATTGATTTGGCGTTTGAAGTATGCTTTTCGAATCACCGGATAAACGTAATGAAATCATTACAGCTATGAAAATAAAGTGGAAAAGTATAAGCTAGTTCTTAGTTCAACTTTTGTGAAAAGTTTTTTATAAAATCAGAATATTTCTGATCTTTCTGTTAGGCCTTTGAACAACCTGGTAGCGAAGCGAACGGCTCCATTTACGACAGCGACCTCACTGATGGTCTTTCGGATGCGTTAACCCAATCCCAGCCCTCTGAAGGCACTGTTGGTGTTGACATCAAAATATTGTCTGAGAAGGAAGATATTGTGGAGGCTGCCATTAATGTCTGGGATGACGCCCCAGAAGAGAGCTTGGACCTCACAGTGGATAGCCAGGAGGGAGAAGGTGTGGAGCCAGTAATAGAAAATATAGCTCATGGAACGGAGCCATTATCAGAAATGAACATCCGCTGTACCGCCTTGTTTGGCTATGAGGTGAGAAAAACTTTCTGTGTAACCCACAGATACCATACAAATAATACTTCGTCATTATCTGTCATTCAAATGCCACAGTTATCATTTTAAGGTGGCCAGTTAACGCCCCATCTACTTATAAACAAGCCCTTAGAGAAAGTACAAACCCCAATAATAAAATGTTTATATAACTAGTTGTCTTTTAACTTCATTGTGTAGTGTAAAAACTACATAAATGGTGTTACGCATTAGAATTTCAAGTAGCCTGAAATTGAGTTAACTGATATATTTAAATTTAGTAGTTAAATTGTACTTTGTAGTTAAATTAAAGCCGATATATAGTCAGTTTATGATATTTGCCAACAAGATTGATACACACAGTTTTCGTTTTTAACACAAATACGTTTTCATATACATACAGCAATATAATTTACAATAACAGTTATTACAAATAGTTATTACAAACAATGATTTATAAACAAAAGTTTCACAAACTTACAAGCAATATAAAGTCTTCTTTCTAGTCTGGAACTTCCTTGATATCCTATCGAGGGTTCACGATGAGCGAGTTAATTAAGAGTTGATGTAGGTACGAATCGCATAACGGAAAGCTAGTTAGCTTTGTCCTTTGACACACAAAGTTTTCCACCGTTGAAGTTAGGTAATGTTTTCGTAAAAGTATTAATGTCCGATGTGAATCCACTGAAGTTAAATGGTTTGTAATGTTCGGAATTTATAAATATTCCTGTTTAAATATCCGAAGTTTATAGCACACTGACTATAGCGAACTAATAATAGATACCCTCTTTTGGCGCGTCTCGTTGGTTATATTTATAGGGTGCAGAGGCTTTCTAGAAAATCAGTATACGTAACAATACAAATCTAAGCGTTTACGCACACATATATATTGTTGATTCTTACTCTCGAGAAGTTTCTACAGCTTTGGAGAATAGGCGGGAGTTTCGCAATATATATTTAACAGTATAAGCTGTGTGTGTTTCT